AATAGGTTCACGAGTCACGCATGCGAGCAGCTTGTGGGTAATGTAATTTGATAGCGTAACGTGAGCTGCACGTTCCCCAAGCGAGTCACAACTTATAATGATGGGAATAGCAGTTAGACACGGTTCAAAGGGCAATAAAACAATAAAATTTAATTATAAACACACGTATACTGTTATGAACTTAGAGCTACTTAGGATAAACAAATGTAGTGTCAGGTTACAATTTGAAGTCATTCTAGAGAGAGAAAAGAAGGTTAATTTAGGTTTATTTCAATTTTTCTTTTGGTGGTTACGAGGTAGGTCAAATTGACTGATTCTGTTTTGAGATAGGGTAGAGAAAATAACAAACTATAAGGATTTAGTGAAAAAAACATTTGAAATGTATTTAGGAGGTTTTAGGAATTACACAAAGGAAATTTGAGATTTTTGAGATGATGAAAAGTATTTTTAATTTTAACATGAAAATTACTTTGCACATGGACTATTCAAAACAAATACTCAATATATTCATGGACAAAACTATTTTATTTTATCAGAAATACTTCACTAAGAAATGACTTTTTGTTCGTGAAAGACTTGTAATATTAACTGAAAGACTACCAAATTTCGTGAAGATATACCCAATATATAGAGAGTTATAAGTATTAAATTTATATCACCTTTAAATGAGTATAAAAGGTCATGTGACTCTGTCAAATTGACCAACCCAGTGTTGGGAGAGTTAAGGTAAACAGTGATTAGCACTACATATATGAATGATCATTCTTATTCAAATATAGGGGAGGAAGTAACATTGAAATATAACCTACAATCACTGGACATTGCCATCTATGTTCTTGCACAACATATAGCATTACACCATGCCTGTCATGGTCAGAACAGGTGATATTTCTATAGAATGATAAAGGAACAAAAATAACTAGAACTAAATCAACATAATGACTTTTTTTGACTATGTGCCATGCAAAAATTGCAGACTTTGGACAAACAAAACAATTTTTGAAAAATCCTGCATGAAAATGAAAAAATAGATGACATGGCATGCTTGTATACCACAGTGGTAAAATGTAATTTCTTATGATACACACCTTTATGAGTAGTAATATTCTAAAAGTATCCTTTTCCTCTTTGTGAGTTTATGTAACAGCATTTCACTTCTAACTTGTTACAGTAAAATCACTAGAAATTTTGCTATATGATGGTATTGTTATGAAGTTTAAGTTAACCAGAACAAACATCTTTAATTCCATCCAATCTCTTAGAACTTTATATGTGGCTGATCAAACAATAGTGTGAATGAGTGTGTAATACGAAAAAAATAAAAACAGACATTCCACATTACATTTGATAAAATAATATGTAAAATAAATTATTTGCATTTTCCAAATGTAACAAAAATATACAATATTTATTTTTCAATTTTCCTTTTTCTTATTCTTCACTCATTTGACTGGCAGATAACAATGATGCTAAGAACAAAAATGGTAATGAAATCACCCAAAATAATTCTACTAGTAGACAGGTTGTGTTTAAAGTGAATACATTTGTGATTGCATTCCTAATATTTGTGCTATTTTATCAAGAGTAAGCATATTACACAGTTTTTCCTTACAATTAAGAATGGTTATACATTAGAGAAAACAATACAAAAAGTGTCTGAGAAAATTATCTTAAAATGATAAAAGAAATTAAAAATATAGATTACTGCAATAAATAGTTATACAAACTAGCAGAGACCCGCAAAACATTTCTGGACAAATTGGTATCTTTATCGTAACAGTACTTTTTTAAATATAACATTTCTAGCACAATACAAACGAATTATAATCATAGACAACAAAATGTGTAAATCCACTTGTATATAAGCTGTACTTTATAAAACTTTAACTTACGTTAGGCCTAAGTTTGATAAAGAACTGGAACCTGTGTAAGTTTTTTTTTTACTTTAGTTTAGTTAGGACTAAACTTTAACTTATACTTAATACTATAGATAAATAAACTT